GGGATGGAGAGAGGGAGGGATGGAGGAGAGATGGAGGGATGGATGGAGAAATGGATGGATGGAGAGAGGGAGGGATGGATGGAGAGGTAGAGGGATGGATGGAGAGGTGGAGGGAGGGAGGGACGGATGGATGGAGAGATGGAGGGATGCAGAGCAGCCCTGCTGAGAAGGACTTAGGGACGCCGGTGGGTGGCAAATGGGACACGAGGTGGCAACGTGCGCTCGCAGCCCAAGTGTCTCCTGGGCTGCAGGTCGAGGGAGGGGATTCTCCCCCTCTGCTCCGCTCCGGTAACCCCCCCCCGCGTCCAGCTCTGGGGACCCCGGCACAAGACAGGCGTGGACCTGCTCGAGCGGGTGCGGAGGAGGCCACGGAGATGTTCCGAGGGCTGGAGCAGCTCTGCTCCCCCCGTCCCGGGAAGCGTTGGAGGGCAGGTTGGACGGGGCTTGGAGCAATTTGCCCTCGCGGGAGATGTCCCTGCCCGCAGCAGGGGGTGGGACTGGGTGGCCTTTGAAGGTCCCTTCAACTCAAACCCTTCCGTGGTTCTCTCTCTGTACGTCCACGCACACACGTGTGCACATACAGAGGTGTGTCCGTGTAACCCCGTGGGCTGAGCCCTCGTGAAGCTGTTGGTGGAGCCAACGACTCAACCCAACGCCACATTTCTAAAAAACCCATCTCAAAGCTGATTTCTTCCCTTCTCCTGCCCAGAACGCCGCTGGAGGAGCAGGAAAGGGGGTTATAGCCGCGTCGGGGAGTCTGCTCGTTTGTGGAACCCCCTTCGTTAGGGAAGAAAGTCGCTGTTTTGCCGACTCGGTGCTTCCGCTTGGGCGAGGGATGAGTCCTGGCGGGGAGCTTGTGCCTTGCCACCCATCGCTCCTCCCTACGTGTCCCGGGAGAGAACAGGTCCCAAAAATATCCCCGAACAAGGTTGCTTTTGCCCGGCGCTGAGAGCTGCGGGAGGGGAGCGCGCGCGCGCGACCCGCGACGATGAGGATCCACTCAGCGTTGCGTATCCCTTTCCCCATCCCAGTAAATCCCAGTAGCACTTGACTTGTGCCTTTTTTTGGGTTTTTTTTTTTATTTTATTTTTTCCTCTCGGGATTCCTGAATTGTTTTGAAAAATTTTTACCGTTTGACGAAAGCGGCGGCGGCGCCACGCGCCGAGGCTGTGTTGAAGGTAGCGTCAGGGCAACTTTTAAACACCTACATGAGAAGAAATGGCACTTAAATGAAGATTTTTCTTTTTTTTTCCCCCCCCTCCTCCGCTCTGTTGTGGAGAACTGTCCAGGATATTTATCTTACAAGGAATATTTGTGGTTTATTGGAAAGGCTTCGTAGCCTGAAGGCGTCTTTATTTTTTCCTTAACGTTATCCCGGACTCAGATGCGCTTTGCTGTGATGCGAGATGTTTCCGGATACCACCTCGTTGCCGAAAAACCTTTTCCCCTCCCGTTGCGGGATGCTGTTTTAACCACGTTAAACCTTGCCTTTCCTGAGAGCATTAATAGTGGTGAACCTCCTACAATTTTAAATCAACCAATATTAAGCTGGTCTTCCCTGTCTTTTTTCCGTTGTGAAATAAGCTGCTGTAGTTGTGTGTGTGTGCATGTGTGGGGTTTGGTTTTGGGTTTTTTTTGGTTGTGTTTTTTTTTTTTTAAGCCGGCAGATTATTTTACGGTGCTTCGATGACGCCGCGGTCGGGCTCGCCGAAACGCCTGGGGATAAGCGTGGCTGACTCCCGACGATCTGCGCCGGCCCCGCCGTGGTGGGATCCCACCGCCTGCCTTCCCCGGAGAAAAGGAAGCACCAAACCCAGTCCTCCCATTTTTAACCTTTGCGGTTGGTTTTGGTTGTGGGTTGTTTTTTGGTTTTTTTTTTTTAAGGCTTTGAACAAGTTCAGGTCTCCCACTTGCAGAGGACAGAGTGACCGTAGGTTTGGCGTCCGACGCTGGTCCGCGACACCGGCTGGTTTAACCGACAGCCAGAGAGGTGACCAACGGCATCTCCGGGGAGGACCCCATCACCGGGTGGCTCCGGGTGGGTTTTTTTTTTTTTGGTATTAATCAAGAAATTAACCAAAACCACCCAGAAAAAACGACGCAGTGGAGATGGCGTTGCGTCCCAGCAAGGCGCTGCGGAGCTGCCGGTTCTTTTCTTCTCCGCTTCTCTGCGGCTTCTCGTGCAGAGCCTTAACGCATTTCATTTAAAATGGTTATACTAAACTTAGAAACGCGAACTTGAGAGGGGTTTTGGGGGGGCAGGACCGCGGCGGGCTGCAATCCAGCTCCGCGAACGAGGCGTAGGTGAGGACGGAGCTCCTCCTTTGCACCCTGGTTTTAATTTCCTCCCGTTTCCCAGCGGCAATGCCGGTTCTGCCGTTATTTTACCCCGTAGCTCCGTGCCGTACGGAGCGCTCGGTGCGCCCCGGGGGCGTCTGTGGTGAACGGGTTGAGGAGGAAGAGGATCCCATCGACCTGGGGAGAGCTGCAACACGGAGGTCATTCCCCTTAAATAAATGAAAAGCCGTGCCAAAAACCGGCCGGCGGCATTGCCGGCGGGTCCCTTGCCCTCGGGGGGGGGCGGTTTTCGAGTCGCAAACTGGAGTTTCTCCTCCCGCGGCGCCCGCCCGAGGCCTTCGTGACCCTGGTGAGGGCCGCAAAGAGCATGAAAAAAGCTTTGTCTCTGGTTTAATAGCGTTTGGGAAGCTGCTTAATTGAACGTCCTATTAATTCCGGGGCTGTTGCGACACACGCACGCAGCGAGCGTCGGGGACTGGCGTGGAAAGCCGGGTTTAGTGCCGGCAACCGCCCAGGCTTATCGGCAACCGGGATTGCGCGAGCTGTCGTCGCCGGTGGTTGCGGTCATACCCAGGTTTCAGGTGGAAAATACCTTTTTTTTTTTTTTTTTATATATTTTTTTATTATTAAGTTTTTCCCCCCTTCTCTTTGGGTCGGCTGCCAGCTTCTTAAGAGGAAACAAGAGCTAAATTCCCCCCACTTTACTGGGAAT